CCGTTTCCCCCCTGAGAAGGGACATGACACCAGCTGAAGTGCCCAGTCAATTTTTCCAAAATCACCAAACCGACGGCAGAATTCTTCATGCAGGTCATCCAGTGATTTCCTATATTTCTTCACATGTTGCGGGGCCTCTTTTAACGTAGCCAGTGTGGGGAAATGAGCAAATGACTTGTCTGACATTTGCTTCGAAAATAAAACTAGCCTGGTTTTGAAGGCTCTGATGTTTGCTTGCATTTCATGCACAAACTGGTTTTTCCCTTGTAGCTTCACATTCAGCTCATTCATGTGTGTCAGTATGTCCACAGTAAAAGCTAAATCACAAAGCCAATCTGTGTCATTCAGCTCAGGAAAATTGTCAGTGTTCTCAAGTAGCTCCAAAAATGAAATAATCTCCTGTTTGAGCTCCCACACACGTTGACATACTTTTCCCAAACTTAACCAGCGGACATTAGAATGGTAAAGCAAGTCCATGTGATCAGCGTCAGTTTCTTCAAGAAAATGAATAAACTGACGATGATGAAGTCCCCTCGCTCGAATAAAGTTAACGAGTTTCACAACTGGCTTCACTACGTGGTCAAGCTGCAACACGGATTTACACAGTGCTTCCTGGTGAATTATGCAGTGTAGGAAAATTACCTCCTGCTCAGGGTTGTCCTCTTTCACCCTGTCCTGGATTCTTTTGAGCATCCCAACGTTTTTTCCTGTCAGATTTGGTGATCCATCTGTGGTAACGTTGGCGAGCCTACTCCAAGGTAACTTGTGCCTCTGTATGACCGCTGACACACTGTTAAATAAATCGACTCCCCGTGTTTTTCCTTTCAGGGATTCCATAGCCAAAAACTCCTCCGTTATCTCGAAATGTTCATTAATCCCTCTGATAAAAATTAAAAGCTGAGTGGTGTCCTTTATGTCATTGCTTTCGTCCAGTGCCAAAGAATATAATGTAAATGACTCCGCTTTTTTGTTTAGCTTGCTAGTTAAGTGTTCGTCAATTACTTCAAAACGGCGAGTCACTGTCCTGCGTGATAAGCTAATTGTTTCAAATTTGTTCTTGCTCTCAGGACATAAAATACTTGCTGTCTCTACCATACACTCTTTAAGAAATTCCCCTTCGGAGAAAAAGGCTTGCTGGCTTTTGCTAGTTTGAATGCCAGTAAATAACTTGTCTTCGTGCTTGCTTCTTGGATGGAAGTTGCTCGGTTAAAGGTGCTTTGCTGAGCCTGCAACCTAGCTGCCAACCTATGAGCGGTAGCCGTACATTCTTGCGTTGAAAGGTTGCTGGCGTAATTAGCATGCTTGGTGGAAAAGTGACGGCTGATGTTGTATTCTTTGAAAACTGCAATGGTTTCTTGGCAAATAAGACATACAGCCTTTGACCGGACTTCAGTAAAAAAGTATTTAGGTGTCCATTCTTTATTAAACACCCGGCACTCACTGTCGACTTTTCTTTTCTTTGACATTGCTGCAGATGGGTTCTGATCTGACCAGTAGAAGAAGAGCGATAATTGAAAATGGCTCGGGCTCCGCAAAATCAAGTCACTGTGCCTAATGTGCAGACAGGATATTCTCCCTATTAAAAACACAACAAAGATAGATAGATAGATAGATAGACAGATTCTTCCCCTACGAATAAACGACTGTGTGTGTGTGTGTGTGTGTGTATGTATGAATGTACCCCCTCAGCTTACACAAGTTGGCCACTTATAAGATAAGAAATGAATAAACGCCCACCCCCCAAAACATAACTCCTCCGGTGCCCACGGATAAACTGTGAACCACCAATTAGTAGCAGGGCTGACCCTCTCTCTTGAACCAACATCTAATTGGGAAGAGCAGACCGGCCTTCAATCTCTTGTGAGAAACTGCTGGCTAACCCTGCAAACCGCTTGCCCCTCTGTGGGGGGCTTTTGCCTGCCTTTCCCCCCCTCTGGCCGCCAGTTGCTCCCAGCACCCGAGCAACTTCCCAGCAACTTTCGCCTTCCTATTAACTTGCGGGCGCTCACGCCTCGCCCCGAGCCACACGGCGGAAGGGAAGCCCGGAGCGCCTCCAGGTCGCCTCCTCCAAGCAGCCCGCCCGCCCGCCCGCCGGGCTTCCCATCTGCCGCGCGGCTTGGGGCGAGGCACGAGCGCTCGTGAGTTAAAACGAAGCCGAAAGTTGCTGGGAATTGCTCAGGTTTCCGAGGCCCCGAGGGCTTTGCAAAGGCAAAGCTTGCAGGCTGCCAAGGAAGGCGAAGGGTTCTGCCCGGCGGGTGGGGCGGGCTGCTTGGAGCAGGCTGCCGTGCGGCTCGGGGGGAGGCGCGAGTGCTCGTGAATTAAAATGAAGCCGAAAGTTGCTGGGAATTGCTCAGGTTTCCGAGGCCCCGAGGGCTTTGCAAAGGCAATGCTTGCAGGCTGCCAAGGAGGGCGAAGGGTTCTGCCCGGAGGGTGGGGCGGGCTGCTTGGAGCAGGCTGCCGTGCAGCTCGGGGGGAGGCGCGAGGGCTCGTGAATTAAAACGAAGCCGAAAGTTGCTGGTAATTGCTCAGGTTTCCGAGGCCCCGAGGGCTTTGCAAAGGCAAAGCTTGCAGGCTGCCAAGGAGGGCAAAGGGTTCTGCCCGGCGGGTGGGGCGGGCTGCTTGGAGCTTTGGAGTTGTCTGTGAGTGCAAGGGGGCTTCCAGTCTAGTACTACTTTGACTTTTGCTGGCTCCATTTCATTTGACACTAGGTAGCCCAGGTAGTCCACAGCGGTCTTGTGGGACTTGCATAGACAGCTTGATGTATAGCTATCCTGTGAGTAGTTTTTTCAGAACTTGGTGCACTAGCTTCACGTTTCTCTATTGTTTCACTAAATATAAGAATATTGTCCAAGTAGACAAGGAACCCTTTATATAGGTGCACATATAGCATTGATTAATTGCATGAAGACGGCAGGGGCTCCTTGTAACCTAAACGGCATTATTTTGAATTGGAAGCTGCCTAGTGGGCAGTTAAAAGCAGGTTTCAATTTATCTCCTCTAATTCGGACACAGTACTATGTCTCCTGCAAGTCTAGTTTGATGAATACCTTCCCCTTGGCCAGGTGGGACAACGTATCCTTCATTCGTGGCAGTGGGTAGGTGTTTTCCACACATACTGCATTTATTCCTCTAAAATCAACGCAGAGCCTCATCGACCCATCTTTTCTTCTTCTTTTGCTGGTTGTATAAACCCCCAGGCTAGGTTGGTGTTAACATAGTCCCTTAGCTCTTTCATCTTCTTGGGAGTCATGGTTTGGGTACTTTAGTCCCCTGGCATGAACTCAGTTGCACTGTGGGTTGGGTGTGTGTGTGTAGAGTATTGTATTCCTCTTCACTAAACATCTCTGCTAAGTCCTGGTATTCTCTTGGGATCTGGGGAGTGGGGTGGCTCTGACGTTATGGCAGCTTTTTCTTCCCAGTTAGTGTCACTCAGCTGCTGGAGGGCTTCCCTCTCTGTTAAGGTTGGGGGTGGGTCTGGACCCAGTGTCAGTTTCAATTTTCAGTAACCCCCTTCCCAGGTGATTGCTGAGCCCCATTTGTCTAGCCAAGCCAGTCTTAGTATGACAGACTGTCATTTTGTCACCACTACGAACGGGATTAGCTCCCAGTGGCATCCTATCTCTAGTTTGACAGTTTGAGTGACATGCATAGCTGGGCTCCCTCCTATTAGTGACCCATTGACCTGCTCAAATCATATGAGGTTTGCTAGGGGTCTCGTCTTTATGCCCAGCTTTGCGACTGTGGAAGGCAGCGGGTGCAGCCTGTGTCTATGATGGCTTCTACTTCCCCTTGGCCTCCTGTCTCTGGCATCACTATTTTTGACTTAATCATGAAAGGACAGATGGTGTACTAATAGCACTTAAATCTCTTAACACAGTAGCGTCAAACTTGATTCCATTGAGGGTTGCATCAGGGTTGTGTTCGATCTTGGAGGGCCAGGGTGTGTGTGGTCAAAGTGTGTGTAGCCAGCTTGACATCACTCATTGAGGCTCTCATTTTTGAGCGTGCACCCCTCTGCCAGCAAAAATGGAGCGCACAGCCTTCCTGGGCCTCTGTTTTCACTGGCAGGGGGCTGTAAGAAACCGTCACAGCCAAAAATGGAGCCCAGGGGAGGGGTCTTGTGTGGCCTCCCTGAGCTCTGTTTTCGCTGGCAGAGGCACTGTGGGCCAGTCCGCTGTTTCCAGGGCAGCCCCGTGGGCCAGATCTAAGCACCTCGCTGGCCGGATCCAGCCGAGCCTTGAGTTTGATACCCCTGTCTTATCACAATAAGCAGAGTTTTGTGGGAGTTTTTATGAAGTTTGCTAATGTGTTTACCCAAAGATTATTGTATGTTTGAGTTCCTGAAATGACAATTATGTTACTTATCTGCTACACCTTGCCTATTTTGTAAGAAATACATAATAGTTTTCAGTTAAAAGAAAGAAATAATTTTGAAAGACAATTTTTATATCTTCCACAAGCTTAAAGACAGAAAGAAGAGATAAACTTTTTAATGGTAATTTGCAGGCATCTACTGTATATTCATTATAGTACTGTGTGCAATTAAAAAGGATGCTAAACAAATTTACAAAACAAAATGTTTAATATTTCAGTTATATTTTCTGTGAAAAGTACAGCAATATAAAAAAGCAAAAATCAAGTTAAATTTACTTGGGCAGCTTAAAAATAACATGGCTTTTTAGAAGAAATTTCAAAGTAAATTGCTGATTATATAGTACATAATTTTGAACCTTTTCTATTATTCTGGCTCCTTACTTGTCATGTATTGATTTATTTCATATTTCATGATGATGTTATTGTTTTATATGATTTTGATCATTTTCATTACAAAAACAAAGCTACTGTCAAACTTTCCTTCCCAGTTTTAACAATCTTTTCCTATGATATACTTTTCTTACCTGGATTTACTATTCATTGTGTTTGGTGTCATTATTAAATTGCATTAGGGATGTAGAGTGGCAGTGAAGTAAATTTTAGAAAATAGATTTTTCCATAAACATTAATATATAATATCCTGGGATCATTGAGTTCTTTAAGGTGACCTTTTAAGTGGCCAATGATTATATGAAATAAATGCTATTACAAGAAAAATAAAAACTTTTGGAACACATGGTTAATAACTAAACTGGATCAAATGCAGCTTCATTGGATCACTTGTACCATTTAGCACTGTCTGTATAGTTTACTTTACCTATATTAGCAAGCAAGAATTGCTGACCCAATGTTTAAACAGTCCAAGTCCAATAGGATGGATGGTTTTCTTAACTGGTCTCAGTCTTAACAGATCTCAGTGATTTATTATGGTGTATTTCTAAGCTATAGCTATTGTAAAGGTAAAGGTTCCCCTCGCACATATGTGCTAGTCGTTTCCGGCTCTAGAGGGCAGTGCTCATTTCTGTTATAAAGCCAAAGAGCCAGTGCTGTCCTAAGATGTCTCCATGGTCATGTGGCTGGCATGACCAAACGCCTTATAGCTATAAGCTAGATCTGTGGTTAATTTATCACTTTAAATGGCAAAAGAAACAAAAACCTGTACACTCAAAAACCAAAAGATACGAGAGGTGTCTAATTTTGCCCACACTACATTTATATGGCACAGCTAGGGGTAGTAGAACCTCACAGATGCTGCTCTATCTTGACAACAGTCAAATTGGTACATTTCATTCTGTCTCATGGAAAGACAGACTTGCCAAATCATGCATCTGTCTGTTTATTAGTCTTCTTCAGCAGTTTTCTCAGGTGAGATGACATGAAGTAAGGCTTCTCAGTAGAGCCATCATTACGCTCCAGGTCTTCCACTGCAAAGAAACACAAATCCCCAAGCAAAGGGATGTGAAAAGATCTTTTTGGGACTAGCACAGGGGAGATAGCTTAAGCATTACATAGGAGTAATCCTGGTTTATAGAACTTAAGGGAAACTTGACCACTGCTTGCAATAGGAATTAGATCTTACCATGAGCAGATAAGTACATATAATGGACATACATAATTAGACTGAAAATTATTCTGATTTGAGAATTTTCCTCTTCTGGTAGTCAACAGAAAGGATGTTAGTTTTCTCCACCCAAAAAGATCTGATTATGGACTTTTTAAAACCCTGTCTTAAAGTAAGGGGATAAATCTTGCCATTCTCAAAGATTCCAGACACATCCATGAAGTCTGAAGTCTTTTTTTCTCCCATGGGATACAAAGAAATTGGATAATAGAAACTGTCATTAGCAAAGCAAAAGTGGAGTTATATGAAGATTTCCTATTAATTATTCACATCTGAAAATTATTCTTTTTTAAAATTAAACTTCCCTAGAAAAAAAATTCCTACTCATAAGTAGGAAAACACCAAGTGTTACAAGTGAAATATGCAAATAGCAGATAAGAATCTGTTTTTTTTAATCTTTCAGCATTCCCCCTTTAGAACAGTTGTGTTAATCTTTTATGCCTTTTGTTGATTGCATCCCTATATAACACATGGAAACAGAAAGAGAAGAAGACTCTCCAAGAACTTCCTACCCTGGAGGGGTTTGCTTCTAGTTTAAAGCAGCAACAAAGTACTTGTAATGAAGCAAGATATTTTTAAAGAACTGAAACTAATCTGAGAGAAATGGTGCTCATCATGGTTATCTTCATCCCACTATTTATTTCTGTTTGTATACAACTGCAATTGCAATTATATACTAATTCTAAATCTATTCAACCAATGGAAGGTACACTATTAAGTAAGCAAACTTACTTGTTAAAGCATTTTATTTATTTCCAAGCAGCTGCTATACAGATATCTATCAAGTGCACAAACACTTGATAAGATATTGTGCCAAAAGCAACCATAGTTAAGACAGCAACAGCACAATCATACTGAGGCATTTTTTTCAACTTTAAACACATTCGCCCTCCAATTTCAAGTCCTTTGGTAAATCTCCTGGACAGAAACAGATTATAGTATATACCATCAATAGCTACTTGTTTGATGGAAGTCAAGAGCACCCATCATTTCTTAGAATATCAAACTTTGCCCATGAAGGTACAGCATCTGCACATAGAAGGCTTGCAGTGGGACACCTGCATACATCTTTCCCATTGGTGCATTGTCCCTATTCTTGACTCTCAGCACTTTTGGAAGATTTTAGGCTTCCCTTCAGGAGGATTTCACTCAATGCAGAGGACATGTAATAAGGCCGCTCAGGAGTTCCATCGTTCCTTTCCAGATCTTCGCCTTTTGGAATCCCAAACAAGACAGAGAAAGCATCCATAAAAGAATGAACCAAGAGAAGCAAAGCAAAAAATAAACAAGGCAAAGAGATACAAAGCAAAAGGGGGGAGAAAAAAAGGAAATGTTGAAGTTAATTGCAATTAAGATTCCTCCACCAAGCAAAGAACAAGACAGCTTAGAGTAGCCTATTTCTATGCTATATTATAGCACAATCTTGCAAGTAAAGCAGAGGGAATTGCTGTGAATTAATGGATGTGGAAAGGATGAAGTTACTGGTTGCAAAATCACAAAATAAAAGGCTGCTTTAAAGTACATTCTAGTCAATTATCTAATCACCAAGATAATTGGGCTGATCTGCTACCTTTCATGGAAGTAGCCTACAACAGTGCAATCCACAGTAGTACTGGGCTAGCTCCTTTCCAAGTCACCAGTAGAATGGACTTTGTGCCTATGCCTGAGTTAAAAACCTCAATGTCCCAAACTGAGTGGATGGACTTATTAAAACAGTGCCATGTGTGCCCTTGCCCAAGCTGCTGAGAAATACAAATATCAGGAGGACAAGCCCCCTTTAAAGTGGGAGATCAGGTCTACTTGTCCACTAAATATCTTAGATTAAAGTTGCCTACAAAGAAAGTGGATCCAAAATTCCTAGGACCATTTCCCATAGTGAAAGTGATAAATCCGGTAACTGTGCAACTAAGTCTCCCTCGTTTATTAGGGAAAGTGCATCCGGTATTTCATAGTAATTTATTGAAACTGGCTGTTACCTCACAATTAAGACCAAGAAATCAACCCACTCCCAAGCCAATAGTGGTACAGGGTGAGACACATTATGAAGTAAAGAAAATATTGGACTCTAGATCGTATAGGGGTCGATTACAATATCTAATCCATTGGAAGGATGCCACCTGGGTGAACAGTTGGGATATAAAGGCAGATAGGTTTTGGTGAAACAGTTTCACGAGAAATTTCCCGATAAATCGAAGAGCCCCCCTGGGGGGGTGGGGAAGGAGGTGGTTAGTTAGTACCAATTCCTAACCTCCTGTCACTTGTCTCATTTCTGTACATTCTCATCGCTTGAGGGGAGGCAGCCTGTCAGCCCCGGATCTATCTTGATTCAGATTCCGGGCTGCCACAGCAGGGGATGGGCAAGCTGTGGGAATGGGAGAGTAGCAAAGGGAGTATAGCCACAACAACATTCTTTTGCCAGAGACAAGTTGCTGGCATCTGGAGGGGAGTGACTGGAATTTGGTGGCAGCTGAGACAGGAGGTTGATTGGCTAATGTGACCTGGGCAGTCACTAAGTGGGTATGAGTTTAAGTGGGAAAACACAGGAATTCTGATTTGGGTTTTCCCCAGATGTGCCAACATGTCTTTATCAGACAATTCTTACTTTGATGGACTTTGTCTCAGAGTTTTGAATTGTCTGGAAAGTTTAATTGGAACTCTGACATCTAAATTAAAAACAGAGACTATAAAGCTCTCACTTTTCTAGTCTGGTGTCTGAACTAAGTGTCATATCCTGCTTTACTGGAGGTCATCTAGAAAAACACTGGATTAGCAAATCTGTTTTATAACCAAACACTTCCTAGCAGAGTAATAGCAAGGGAAAGAAGGAGTGTTAGTATGACTAATGCTCAATATAATTCACCCTACACTATAAATGACTATTTTGTTATTTTCTGTACTTGTCATTTCAACAAAACACAGAATAGTCTCTAATATAAACAGACTCTTGTCAGTATCACAAATAAAAATTCCTTCTCATTTTTTCTGATCAATATAGCTATGAAAGTTTGCATCTTTTAAATAACAGATGAGAAATGCAGAAGCAGAATTATGGGCAGAAGCTAAAAGTCCTTTTTTATTGCTATGCTGCTTCCTTTTAGTGACACTGTTAAGTCTGTTTTTATGTCTATAAAATGATTAATAGTATATAGAGTACATATTCTGTACCTTTTGCATCTGGTCAGTCTAATATCCCTGAGCCAAATAAATTCTTATCTGATTAGGAACTATGACATGGAAATACAGTAAACCTTACTTTGAAGTACAAGAAGTCCTTAGTTAACTATGGTCATTGTAACTGCCAATTCACTAAATGATGTATAAAATGCAATGTCATGTGACTGCACTGATTTACAATGACAATTCTGGCAAATCAAGTGGCTGTTTTTAGATGTGACATTACATGAATCCCATTTGTAGCCTTCTGTTGACTCCCCCCCTTGATTTTGCTTATTGGAAGCCAGCAGTGAAAGCCACAAATTATGATCAAGTACCATAGGATGCTGCAACCATTGTAATTGCAAACTGGTAGCCAAGCCCCTAAATTACATTCACCACAGGAAAGCTGCAATGACTATAACTACGATCCGTTATAACTCTTCTGTGCATCACAACAGTTGTAGAATGAGTGGCAACCTTTTTGTAATATTGCCTTTTGCTTAAACTACAACGGACTAATGTGCTATCTCTGGAATAGCACTAGAATGCAGTTTCCTGGCAAAGGAAGAATAAATTTAGTTAGGAGCATCCCTTTCTGATCTCTAAGTTGTCTATCAACATTTACCAGTGCTACCTTTGAGAATTCATTATTTTGTGGATGAAGAAGATATAAAAGAAGGCCTTTGCAATGTATCCCACATAATCTCCTAATTTAATGCAACAGCATTAGCATTTAGGCTTATAATATTGCCCCATAGTGCTTTACAGCACTTTCTGCATGATTTACATGGTAGAAGCATTATTTGCATATTGCCCACAGTAATCTGGGTCCTCCTTTTACCAACCTCAGAAGGACGGTGTGGTTAGAAAGCAGTATAGCAGACTAATTTTGCCGAGTTTGATTCTCACTGCTCAAGGTTGAGTCAGCCTTCTATCCTTCTGAGGTCAGTAAAATGAGGTTCTAGATTGTTAGGGGCAACATGCTGACTCTGTAAACCACTTAAGAGAGGGCTGTAAAGCACTATGAAGTGCTATACACATCTGCTAAGCTGCTAGTGCTGTGGAAGGCTGAGTCAACCTGGAGCCCCATCAGGATTGAATTCCAGGTTTAATGCTAGTATAACTCAGGAGCAGCTTTGGAGTCAATCTACATTTGGATAAAGCATAAATATAGCAATAGTGGCTGGCACCATTTAGCAGTTTAAACAAGATACTTACAGAAACAAAGGAAAAGTGTGTCCACACACATGGCATATACACTGAAAAATCCATGTGCAATGAGGTAGGAACCCACAATCACTGTCTACAAAGAGAGAGAGAGAGAGAGAGAGAGTAAGTGAGAGAAAGAGTCACCTGTGTGGTATCATATCTATGACGGTAACAATAATGTCTAAATTGATGATACTCAACTCTATATGTCCATCCCTGTCTAACTATGTGAGGTTGTTGCTGTCATCTCATAATGTCTGGGGGCTATTGGAGCTTGGTTGGGGTACAACAGGCTTTGGCTGAACCCTGGCAAGCAATAGCACTTAGACTTATATAGTGCTCCACAGGGCTTTACAACCCTCTGTAAGCAGTTTACAGAGTCAGCATATTTCTCCCAACAATCTGGATCCTCATTTTACTGATCTCAGAAGGATGGAAGGCTGAATCAACCTTGAGCCAGTGAGAATTGAACTGCCAAACTGCAGGCAGCCAGTAATCAGCAGAAGTAGCCTGCAGTACTGCATTCTAACCACTGCACCACCACAACAAGACCAAATGGCTTTGGGTGTATGGACCCCAAAGATCCAGGACTTTGAATCCTTAGTTCTGAATGGGGTGGCATTACTCCAGACAGATCTGGCCTGCAATTTGGTGATTCATCTGGACTCATAACTCCTGCTCAAAGAGCAGGTGGCAGTTACAGCTAGGAGATCCTTTGCACAACTTCAGGTTGTGGCTTTTCCTGGATCAGGAGTCATTCAAGCTCTAGTTATCAGAAATGCATATTGAAATAAGTACCTGGGCAAACCACAAACCAATATAAGTTATATGGAGGGGACAAAAAATGAAGCCAAGATGGACAATGAATGCATTAATACTGAAAGAAAAGGAATTTATTCAATTCCTTTTCTCAAAAAATGGTTTTTTTCTTTAAAGAAAATAGAAAAGAAGAAACTTTGTGGCAAAATGTTTGGAATACTGCAAAGGACTAATTATAACATATATGGAAAGAGAAACAAAAAGAAAAGGCAAACTCAAAAGAATATTGAAGAGGGCTAAGAGAAAAGGCTAGAGAAGGCTAGAGAAAAAAATAGAAAACAATCCACAAAAAAAGAATATAAAAAATCAAATGGACTTAAAAAACATGAATTGAACTTAATAAAGAAGAATTAGCACAAAAATTAAAAGATCTAAATAAAACTTTTTTGAAAATGGAAATAAACCAGAAAGACAGAAAAAGGATAAAGAGAAAAAATTGACTCATCAACTAATAGATGATGAAAGGACTTTTTATTATCGGAATGAGCATAAAAAGAAAATAATCCAAAATTATTACTAAAAATTATATTAGCAAGAGGAAATCTCAGAAGGAAAAATAAAATGATATCTAGAAAAAGCAGATCTACCTACAGTATCAGATACAATTAAAGCAACATTAGAAGAAAGAATAACGATGTGTCAGCCTTCAAGATCTTCTACTATTGCTTTGCATCTTTCGGCTGCCATAAGTAATGGGGGGGGGAGGAGGGGGGATAAGTATGGGAAGCAAGCTGGAGGTGGTACAAACTGGCATTGTATAAACTGAGGGGGGAGAGCACATTCTTGCTTAGGTTTCTATTTCTTGCTTAGCTTTCTTTTCTCTGCGCAGCTGCAAACCTTTATCAAAGTATGCCAAGTTCAACGGACAGAAACTTCATCACCACCTGAAGATGTCCACATGATGATATTCACAACTTTTAATTGGAAGAACCATTTGAACTATTGGGGGTGGGATCAACTCCATCACTTTGTATATGTGATTTACGCGCCTAATTCCTCAGATTCAGAATTCTATGGTTGCTACCATTTCATTTTCTAATTAAAAGAGTCTAAGTATTTCTTTCTTGGATTTTGAATGGAGCACTGCCTGTCATGATGGAATTAACAGAAGCAATTAAAAGACAAAAAAAATGGTAAAACACCCAGTCCAGATGGTCTACCAGCAGAATTATATAAAACTTTTCAGGACTCTATAAACACCCCAATGTTGGAAGTATTTCATGAATTATTGATAGAAGCAAAAGTACCAAATTCTTGGATGGAGGCATATATTACTCTCATACCAAAAGAAGAGGCAGACCTGCAACGAATAAAAATTATAGACCGATATCTTTATTGAATGTGGATTATAAAATATTTGCTTCTATATTTGCAGAAGGGCTAAAGAGATTTTAAAATCAACTTATACATTCAGATCAAAATGGCTTTTTACCTAAGACACAAATAAAAGACAATATGAGAATAATCCTGAACACCTTAGAATACTATGAAGCACATCCAGAGAAGCAAATGGCATTGAAATTTTTAGATGCCCAGAAGGCCTTTGACAATGTGACTGGCAATTTATGTTAGCACAATTGAAGGGAATGAACTTTGGGGAGAGATTTATTAAGATGATTAAGGCAATATATTATAAACAAACTGCAAAGGTGATGGTAAATGGAGACATGACTGAAAAGGTTAATAAGGAGAAGGAAACAAGACAAGGATGCCCCTTTATTGCCACTACTATTTGCATTGACATTAGAAGTATTAAATAGAAACTTTAGACAAGATGAGATAAAAGCTATGGAAATAAAACAGGAAAAATATAAGTTACAGGGATTTGCTCATTATTTAGTTTTTATTTTAGAAGATCCATTAGAAATAGGACCTAAATTAATGAAAAAAATTGAAAAGCATGGCGAAGTGGCCAGGATTAAAAATAAAAAGAGAAAAAACTAAGATTTTAGTGAAAAATGTTACAGCGGAGCAAAAGAAGAGTTAACGAGAAGATTAGATATTCAGATTACTAAGAAAGTGAAATATCTAGGGATTCAGTTAACAGCAAGATGTGTGATGCTTAAGGAAGATAATTATTACAAATTAAAACAATAAATTAAGAAGGATTTGGAAAAATTTGCAGTTATTGTTAATAGGGAGAATAGCATCAATTAAAATGAATATACTGCTGAGATTATTATATTTGTTTCAAACAATCCCGATAAAATTGGAGAAAAAAATACTTTGGAGATCTTAACAAAATAGTACTTGGCAAGGGAAAAAAGCAAGAACAAGAGGAGGGTTTGGATTACTTAACTGGGAATTATATTATCAGGCCGCAGTTTTAACATGAATGAAAGAATGGATTATACTGAGGAATACAAGGTTATTGACTCTGGAGGGGCATGATTTACAATTGGGTTGGCATGCCTTTTTATGGTATGGGAAAAATAAGATACATGGTTACTTTCAAAGGCATTATATAAGAAATGCATTATTGTTAGCATGGGAGAAAATTAGAGAACAACACTACTTGAAGATACCAGTCTGGTTTTTGACAATGGAAGCACTTATTCATCCAAATATTATCAATAAGGGAAATATTCTTAGATATAAAGGTATTTTGAATGAAAAGGGTGAGCTCAAAACTAAACAAGAATTAAAAGAGCAAGGGATTGATATGGTTTGGTATTCATATATGCAAATACAGTCTAGAAATGAATAAGATGCTAAACTAGATGGTTTTGATAAAGAATTGACAGAACTGGATGAGATATTAACAGGAACAGAAGAAAAACTGATAAAAATTGTATAAATCTATTGGGAATCAAAGTGTTCGAAGAAGAACAGGTGAAAGAGACAATGATAGCATGGGCAAAAAAATTGGGTTATACCATAGAATGGCAGAAACTGTGGGAGAGAAATTATAAATTAACAATGTCAACTGCTTATAAAGAAAATCTGTATAAGATGTTCTATAGATGGCATTTCGTGCCGGCAAGACTGGCAAGAATGTTTAAAGATAAATCAGCTGAATGCTGGAAATGTCATCAGACACCAGGAACATATTACCATACGGGTGGTTATGTGTAGAAGCTAAAAGATATTGGACACACATGGTTAGGAAAGATGATACAGCAACATATTGATTTAAAACCAGAAATATTTCTGTTGAGGATTATACCTGAAATATAGAGTAAAGAAAAGCTATACTTAATAATTCATGTATTGACTGCAGCTAGAATTGTATTTGCACAAAATTGGAAAAGTGAAAAGATTCTAACAGATGACAATGTGATCAGGAAAATATTAGAATGTGCAGAAATGAACAGGCTAACACTTGCAATTAAAGAAAAGGAACAAACTGAATATTATATGGTATGGGAATTGTTTTATCAATGGCTGGAGAATAAAAATGGAAATCAGAAAATTTAAGATCAATGAAAAATAGTAAACATGTGAATAAGAATTAAATATACTAAGAATTGTTATCATAATTAGATCAGAGGTGGTATTCAACCGGTTTGCACCTATTCGGGCGGTTATTTGGCGTGGGTTACCGAACTGGTAGCGACCCCTGGCTGGCCACGCCCCCGACCCAGTTGCCCAGTTGCTCACTTGCCCCGGTCACTCTCCTAGCTTTCCCTACACACATGGCAGCTGTGGCGCAGCTCAGGCGTATGTCCCAGGGCTGCTACACATGCACACTGCATGTGCAACCACTACACATGCAGTGCGCATGTGCAGCAGCCCCGGGCCTCCACCCGCCTGCCTGCCCTCCTGGAGCACATTTTCTTCCTTCTCCCGGCAGACGCGCCTCTTTCAGCCTGGCCCAGGCAGCAGGTGGGTGAGTGGATATTCTGGGGGTCCTCTCCCTGCTTGTTGTGAGATGCCTGTAGCTGCTGCATGCTTTTTTTGGTGCAGCTGCAGTCCAGCAGACGCACCAAAAAAAGCACGCCCTGTTCTATTTGCCGGGCTCGGCAAGTCTAAGCAGCCGGTGCATAGAACAGGGAGGCGCCAGACCGTTGGAGAAGCGGAGCAAAGCCGGAGATCAGTAGCCGCCTCTTTTGCAGGACAGAAGTCCTCCCCGAATGGGCCAGCTGGTCATCTCCTTCTCTGCCATACAGAACAAATAGCCAGAGAAGGGGACGACCAGCCGACCGATTCGGGGAGGATTTCTGTGCTGAAAAGGCGACTGGAGACTGAAAAAGAGTCGCCTCCAGCAGCCGTCCCTTTGGCCAGCTGATCTCCTCCTTGGCCATACAGAACAAACAGGTGGAGAAAGAGAAGACT